TCAAACCGGGAGGTAAGAACTCCGAGACACACTGCCACGCCCTACAGGCTTCCCCAAGCCAACCTTCATTTTACATCAGGCAAACAGGACACTGAAGGCAAAATTCACACCTTCCCATGCCCCCACCCACTGAAAATACAAGACAGGGAAATGTGGCAAACAGAGTGGGGAGCAGGGCTGCTAAGGCCCCAGGCCCTAGGAAAGGGCAATTGGAGAAAGGACATGGAGCCACTCAGACCCTCAGACACCTGCTCTCCCTACAGGTGAGGAGCAGACGGTGAACATTCACATTTGCTTGTCAGCTGAGGCCCAGGGACACATGTGGCCTGGGTCCCTTCCAGTCCCAAGTGCTCACTGTCTCAACTGTGGAAAGACTCAGGCTTCCCGCCAGCCAGGTCACTGGTAAGCTCCAATCCTGTAGGGGTTTGTATGTGTGTGTGTGTGTGTGTGTGTGTGTGTGTGTGAGAGAGAGAGAGAGAGAGAGAGAGAGAGAATGAAAACGTTCTGTCTACACAGACAATACATTTGGTTACTGGTCTGCTTATGCGTGTGTGTGTGTGTGTGTGTGTGTGTGTGTGTGTGTCGGGAGGGGAGGGGTTACAGCAGCATGTATATAAAGGGGGAAAATAAAGACCAAAATGACAGAGCCTGGCATAGTCCCTCCATGAAAATGTGAGCCCTTCTGCCAAAAACAAAGCAAAAGGAAAAACATAACCAACAAAACAAAGTAATCCCAGGAAAATAAAAAAGAAATCTAACTCTCAAAATCCCAAAAATAAAAATAAAAACCCAAAGTGTAGTCTCTGCATGAGCCATTTAAACATTTCAGCCGCTGCCTGGGCGCTGGTCGGGGCTCCTCTCCCTATAAACAGACCCAGGCCTAGGACAGAAGCTCCTCCACTGGCCATTGGTGACACGGTGCCTGCCTTCCCGTCCTCAAAACGCCCGCTGGGTGTGCCCTTATTGGGACTGCTTCACCCTTGTTTGGAGAGTCGGGGTGAGCCCCCTAGGTACAGTGGCTGTTGTGAGTCCAAGCACAAAGTGAGGGGACGCTGGGGAGGCTTAGTACAGATTTGGCTGCCGAGGGAGTCTGTTCCCGCAGGTCACAGGCGTCTTCAGCAGTGTCTGCAGCATCCAAGCTCCTGCCGTTTTTGTTTTGTTTTGTTTTGTTTTGTTTTTGCCATTCTGCTGTCTCTCAATGTTCCATTGTGTGTGTGTTTCTGGAGCTCAGATCCAGCCCTGTTCCCGGAGTCTCAGTGGGGCCGGGCCCCATTAAATTCAACGCCCCCTTCCCCACATTCACATCCACAGCGGGAGCTGCCCAGGCGCAGCCAGTGGCCCTGGCCTTCCTGCGCCTCCAGTCCCCAGCCACAGAGCTGAGCGCTTCCACCTGGCTCCCCAGGAGAGCCGTTGGGCTAGTGGGTGGCAGTGTTGGGGGTGCGGTGGCTGGCAGACACTCACTCAGTCCAGGGGTCCCGCAGTTTTCCTGTCCTCCTCCCATTCGGGGTGCTGAGCCAGGCGGGGAGCACCTCAGGTCTGGCAGAGGGAGCGCTCTTAGGACGGCCTCTAAGTCCTACCCCATCGGGGCCAAGGCGGCAGCACAGAGCTGGGGGGGGGGGGGGAGGGGAGGGTGCAGCCGGCAGAAACGGTTTTGGGGACTCAAGGGGTCGCTTTGGGTGAGTAGAGACGGACACCGGCATTGTTTCGGTGACGCTGGCACTCGGCCATTCCAGGCTCTATCCGGCGGGGATTGATCTGGGAATCACGTGGGCGCGCCTGGTGCTAGCCTAGACTGTGAGGTTGCAGGGAGTTTGGGGTGAGACCTTGCTCCACTTCTTGTGAGTTGCGGGGATCCCGGGTCCACCGAAAAGGCCTTTGCATCGCGGCTGCCCTTGGCGGTTAAGGCCACGCAGGAGGCGGCGCGTTCCTCCTTGCTGTCTCCAGCCCAGGGTCGACACGCCCTTAGCAAATATGAAACAAAAGGATCCCCATCCCTACCCCTCACCAGACAGGGGGGCCGTTCACGCAGAGGTGTGGGGGGCTGTAAGATCCCCGGGGAAGCCTAGCTGTGTCCGCAGTGGGTGTGCACACTCCCGTTATCCCAGCAGCCTTGTTTGTCCCTTCTGAGGCACACAGTGGCCTCCATTTTGAGGCGGGAAAGCAGGAAGATCCCTCTCCCAGTTCCCTGACCCGCTTTCCCCTGAGGCAGCCAGAAGCTGGAATGATTGGCTGAGCGAGGGTCCCTGGAGGGGTTGGGGTGGGGGCTGCAAGAGCGGTCTGCAAGGAGTCCCGGATCCTCTTTACATCAGCCAGTTCTAGACCCCTTGACTGCTCACCTCCAAACACCGGTGGGCCTGGGCACAAAGGAGACGCTGCCCCCTACAGAGGGTGCTTTGGGGGGAGCCTCTAAGGAAGGAACCCCATTCCCAGAAGCGGTTTGTGGGTCATCTCCCAGCTTCCCATGTTTCATTCAGCGGAACGTTTCTGCAGATTCTGCTGCGTGCTTGCAGTTTTATGGGCATCAATCCGACCCTTAGCGCAGCCCTTCCAGGAAAGAGCTAAGGGTTTCTTTGTACACAAGGGGAAACTGAGGCATGAAGGGGCAAAGAGACTGGTTCAAGTTCAAAAGGCGGTCAGGCTAGTATTACAAACCAACTTCTCTTAATTCCAGCACCCCCTCCAACTCCCCTGTGTCCTGGGACTAACCACAAAGATTTGCTACCTTGGGATAGGGAACCTCAGGGGAGCAAGTGCAGAGTGGAGAAGAGAGAGAAAGAAGGGAAAGCCAAGAGAGAACAGGCTCTTTCCCAGAGTCCGCAGCCCACCGGCATCCTGAAGGCTATGATGGCAAATGCCTCCATCTACCTTTTTTATTTTTTTATTTTTGTTTCCTCCAAAGATAGTTAGGATGTGTCCTCAGAGGTCAAGGGCAAAATGTACCCTCTGCTTAGAGCATACGGAGGGACATTCCTCTTGGGGCTAAGACACTGCTGACTTCCCCGCACTAATGCTGAGCCTTTTATTTGTCAGAGCCTCTGCTCTGGGGCCCAGGAGGGCCTGGAGTGACGCAGGTGACCCTGGCCGGGAGGGATTAATGGTAGGTGACCTCCCGAGTATCTCAGGCCTATAATAACCTCCTTGTTACCACACGGGAAAGGACAGAGGGATTTATGAGGGCCCTGTGTACCTTTTATTTCTTTTAAGTGTATAAACACCCATTCAACGGCATATTTCCATTCTATTGTGCAAATGTAATGGCTTCCCTGTATGTGCCTGCAGGCATTTATAAAAGTGCATCTCCTGCTCATGCTCATAAGTTCATCTCTGCCTGGGTGTGGGTTATTCCTGGCTTGGGTGTCTTGCACCCCTCAGAAGTCACAATGGTCCAGGCAGAAGGAAATGCTCACCCATAGATGGGGTGTGAGGTGGTGAGTGTCACAGGCACTTGAGGGCCTTAATAGGAGAGTATGGGTTTAGCAGACTGATTTCTCCGATTCTGTAAATCCTGAGATTTATTTAAGGGAACTCCAAGCTGGGGCTCTAAGGCCCTGCACCCAGGACAGCCCCCAGTCTGTGGAATGACATCCATCTCATCTAATCCCAGGTGTCCAATAGGCCCATAAACCTGCTGGAATCCCCGCTGGGTGGGGACTCTACCCATGTCCTGTCCTCTAACTCAAGCCCGCCCCAAGGAAGGCACTGGGTACCCCATCTTTAGGTGATCACACCTGATACCAGGACTGTTTCCCAAGATCAGGGTCCCTTCACACTGGACTGTCTCCATACTCTACTCTAGCCCTGTCCCCCATCCCCAGAGCCACCCGAACCCAGCAGCTGTGTGTGTGTCGTGTGTGTGTGTGTGGGGGGGGGGGGGGGGTGTTGACTAGGCCCAGGTGTCCCAGTCTGTGTATGGATAGCACAGTTCAGATCAGACAAAACTCAGGATCCTGGCCCTGGAGCGACCTCTAGCTAGAGCCAGGCTCGTTCCCCTGCCCCGGGCGGGATGGTATGCGTAGGAAAGAAGGGTCTGGACAAAGGCAGCAGAGGGACGCTAAGCCATGGAGTTGGAGAAGGAAGCCAGGGGAACCGTTACCCACAAATGGCCTCTTCTGGGCTCTGGGTTTCGGGCCCCGGGGTTCGGAGATGCTGGGGAAAACAGAACTCAGGCTCCGATGGAGCCTAGAAACGGACTAAGAGCAAGACGCCAGAATTCCCTTTCTCCCCTCATCTCTCTGGGCGAGGCCCGGGTCCCGCGAAAGCTGGGCCTAGAGTTTTGCTTGAGGCGGGCTCGGCGGGTCAGAAGGCTAGGGAGAAGGCGAGGGAGAGCTGGGTGCCCGGGTGTAGTCCAGGGGCGCTTACAGGAAGAATGCGGAGAAGGCAAGGCGAGCTCGGCCAGGGAGAAATGGCCCCGAAAGAAGAGAGGAAAGAGAAGGGCGAGGGAGAAAGGGGCAGATCGGCCCCGAGAAGGCCTCACCCACAGCGGCTGGGCCCGGGCGCTCTGAGGAAGTGGGGACCAAGAAAACATAGCACAGGATAGCATCGGCGGACAGGCGCTGGTAGAGCCATCCCCCAAGTCCTTGGGCCTTTCCTGGGAGCGACTGGAGCGGTCTGCGAAGCTGGGAACGGGGAACAAGGCTGGGCGATAGGCCGGGCAGCTCCTCAGGCGCCGAGCAGAGCCCGGGCCTATCCCCGCCCCGCGGATCTGGGCTCTGATCGCCCCCAGGCCTGACCCCGCTGAGCTGGGACGCTGCTCTCTGCACCTGCACCTGCCGCGAGGAGTGCAGGGCGGAGTCCCGGCCTCCACCTCCCTCTGTCATCACATAGCCGCTTTGTCCTTTGCACTCCTATCCATGTCCAGTGCACCACAGACACTCAGAATAACATTGACTGACTGACTGACTGACTGTATGGATTGGGAGGTGGGGCCGGTGGGAAGGTCGGAGACCCCAGTCGAGGCAGGGTGGGGTCCAGGGCCCCAGGGCCGCGAGCTGTCCCCTTACCTCGCACCAGGATGCGGCGGCAGTGGTCTGTCTCCCCGACCCCGGGCTGCCCGTCGCAGTCGGCGCCGCTCTCCCTGGACCCCACGGGGCTGGAGGTCCTGGCGGTGCTCTCCGGGCTGCGGCCGCTCCGGGCCTCTGCTCCGCCGCGATCCGCGCTGCGCTCGCCGCGGGGATCCCGGCGCGCGGGGCCCCGGTTGCGCTCCGCGCCCCCATCGCCCATGCCGGCCGCCGCCGCCGCCGCCACTGCTCAGCGGAGCTGGACTGGCCTTGCCCGGGCTCCCGGCCCCCGCGGGCCCCGCCCCGACCCCGCCTCCTCCCCGGCCCCGCCCCGCCGAATCCCGCCCCCTTTCCCTGATTGGGCCCCGCCCCGCCTCCGCAGAGTCCCCGCCCCCTTTCCCTGATTGGGCCCCGCCCCGCCTCCGCAGAGTCTCCGCCCCCTTTCCCTGATTGGGCCCCGGGCCGGCGCGCAGAGGAGCAGCGCGGGGGGGGCGCGGGGACCCGGGCGCGGGGGCCTCATTCCTCCACCCCGGTCTATCCTACTCCCGGCCCCAGCGGGGGGCTGGGGCGGCCTCAGGGGACTGAGGAAAGACCCACATCTTCTGGATTCATCACCTCCCTCCCCCAACCGCCAGCCTCCGTCCCTTCTCACTCCCCCCTCCCCAGGGATGCACTTTGGATCAACGACCAAAATGCTCCGGGAGGCGACTCCGAGGAGACTTAGCGGAAAATTGGCGGTTGGCCGGATCGGGCGCTTGGCGGGCTGGGGTGAGGGTTATGGGGGAGCCGGGGGGGGGGGGGACTCAGGCTGAGGGTTCCCGCTCCATCCTTGGCCCCAGATTCAAACCTCCAGCTACACTCTGGAACTCAGAGGAAAGGGCGCTCCCGGGAGAGAAGGCTGAGGATGTAATGAAGGAGCCGGAGGGCGTGAGGCCAGGGGACCAACGGCACGACCCACACTCGCCAGGGGAAAGGAAACGAACGTGCAGACACAAAACCGGGTCCAGGAGCCGAGCCGAGGGGGCTGAATGAGGCCACGACTGACGGGTAGTAAACGCCCAGTTCTCCTGCGGCTCCGAGGCATCCACACCGGGGACTGGACCCCCGGAGAGGGATAGAACGTGGGTATTCCTTGTGTCACTCCCCCATTCGTTGACACTCCCTCCTCGACCCCAGTCCTCCGTCCCAGGTCTGGGCTGGGCTGGGGAGGGGCTAGGGCCACGGGGGCGCGCGGCTGGAGGCCGGCCTGGCAGCCTTGGGTGTCCCTGGGCGTTGCTGGCCGTCTGAGGCCTCCAGGTCCCCAGCACTTTCTGAGAGTGGGTGCTCCCTGAGTTTCGCTTCTTGGACAGAGCCAAGAGAGGCCAGGTCGGGATTTCCCTTCGGAAGGGGCTTAGAAGAAAGATGGAGAGAGACCAGCAAAGATGTGCGTATGCAGGGGGATCTATGGCTTTCCCCCCTAAAGAGCTGTAATAGCAGATGCTTTTTTGGCCCTCGTGTTAGGGTGGGCGATGCTTCCGGAGAGTCTGATTGACATGGGGCAGTGGATGTGTGGCTGCAATGTGTTGCTGGTGCAGCTTCCATGACTCTGATGAGCCCGAGAGCAGGTATATGAGCATGCGAGTGTTAGTGCCTTAGTGTTTGCCCATTGTGCCTGTGAAGAGCCGAGTGTATGTGTCCAATCTCAACTGTGTCCCGAGTGTATGTGTCCAATCTCTATCATGTGTCCAGCCTGAGGTAGGTGGGAGGGAGAACACCAGTCATTTAACTGAGTAACTGCCTCAGTGCGGGGTTTGGGACACGGGGAAAGGGGACAGTCAGGGGGCAGGGGAGGAGGCCAGCTGCTCTGTACTAACAGAAAGGAAGGAAGACAGGTGGAAGGAAGAAAGGAAGGATATAAGGAAAGAAGGAAGGAAGGAAGGAAGGAAGGAAGGAAGGAAGGAAGGAAGGAAGGAAGGAAGGAAGGAAGGAAACTTGCCTACAAGGTAATTTGGGAGTGGGAGGGGAGCAGCAGTATTTTGCCCAGGTTTCGGGTCATAGTGTGTGTTCTGGGTGGGGTCAGGGAGAGGCACTGAAGGGCCTGGGAGAAAAGAGGTTCATAGTTACAGGAGGGTTCTTAATCCCTCCTAGGGAGGATGAACCCTGCACAGGGTTCCATGGAGCCTGGCCCCTTAACGAGCAACTAAATTCCTCAGCGACCCCCACCTGAGCCAGTGCCCCCTCCCTCTGGCCCACACCCGGCACCTGATCTAGCCTGTCATCTTCACTCGCACTTCAGTCATTCTCTTCTCTGGCTCTTTCAAGTTTATTTTTATTATCCAAGCATTGTCTAGAATAGAAACATTCTAAGCAGAAAGCAGACACTTGAACCTTCGCAGCCCCCAAGCCTGTTCCTCTTGCCACAAGCAAGGCCCCGGGGGTTTCTGTTCAAAGAAAAAAAGAACCCTGCAAGGTTTTGTTTTCACACATTAAAATTTTCATTTTATGAATGATGTCATTCTGTGTGGCAATTCAGGTCTCCTTCCTGGTGTCCTCTTCTGAGGTCTATGGTTGGGCTTTCTGGTGCATGTGCTCGCTGTGAGCTGCGGGGTCAGTGAGGAGAGATGAGCTGAAGAGCTGGGGGAGGTGCGGTGTCTTCCGTTCACTGGCTAGAGAGGAGCCAGCCTGGGAGGAGGAGGTAGGAGCTAGGCCACCCTGGCAGTGCATCCCAGGAGGTGGTCTGGGTTTGGAGAGCCTGAATAGGGCTGCCCCCCTCTCAACCCAGCCAGAGCCTGGCTTGGTTAAGAGATATACCCACCCCCCTCTCCCTGTGCTTTCTCCCCCAACCCCTTCGCCCCCAACACACACCATTTTCAGTCTCCCTACAGAGACGCCTTGAGTTCCTCACTGGATCCCTGTGCACTGTCACGGAGGTAGGGATCCATTTCCTAGGCCAGGGGCTATGAAATCCAGGACTCCTGCCGGCTGCCCACTCCCACACAGCGCAGGGAGAATGTGAAAAAATAAAAATAAAAAGAGGTGGGGGCTGGAAGAAAGGGGACAACTGGAACTCCCAAGTGTCAATAGGGGCGGGCTGGCAGCCTCCTACCTGAGGGTTTCCCTTCCTTCCTGTCCTCTTCCTGGCCTCTCAGTCTCCACCTCTTGTTCTCCTCTCTCAGCCTGAGCACCTCCCAGCACATTCCCATTGCCAGAGGCTCAGAAGTCCGAGTTCCTCTGCCCTGCCTCACCCTCTTGTTTGACAATAAGGCAGGAACCCAGTTGACTGGGCTGGGGTGGCAGGAGCAGGAGATGGGATATCCTGCCAGTCCTCTAGCTGGCACTTACCCTTTCTGGTGTCCAATTGCCTCCAGTTTGACTTGCGTTCTCTGGGGCAGGCAACTCCCACTTGACTCTAGCCTTAGACTAGAAGATTCCAAGGAGGAGGCAAGGGAGTTCTCAGCACCTGCTACATGTTAGATCACTCATGGAACTTAGAAAAAGTTACTATTGCTCAGCGGCAGACAAATGGCTTCAGATCTGCTTCCCAGCAGGCTCCCTGTATTTCAAAGGCTTCCAGGAAACCACTAAATTGGGCCAAGTATATGGAAAGCAGGCATTGCTGGGTGAAAGGCAGAAGCAAGTGTCAGAAGTGGTCAGTAAGTGGTGATGTAAGGAATGAGAAATAGTAGTTTTAGCCGGGACTTTGGAGGTAGGGTGGGGGAAGGGGAAGCCAGCAGTGGTGGGACCTGGAAGGTGGAGAGGGTGTCAGTTTGGAGGTGGGAGGGTCAGAGAAGGTAAATAGGCCTGGCCAGGACCCAACTAGACCCAACCCCCAGATGTTTAACCAGATCTGGCAGTCCTCAACACACAGGACACAGGATTCTCCTGGGGAAAGACACCCAGGGGTGGGGCCAGGCCAGAGGTCAAGTCAACAGCCAGGTCAGCTTGGGAATAGGTGTCCCCAGGTTCCAAGACAGAGCTGAAACTCCCAATTTGGTGATCTCTTCCCATCTGCTTTCCTCCAGATTCTCCCCAGGGCTTTCTGGATGTCCTACTCCTCTTCCCAGGCAGTTCCTTGTGAATCTTCCTTCCTCCCTTTCCTCAGATGATTTTGCCACCTCATCCTTCTCCTCTGCCTCCTTTCCTGGCCACCCCTTCCCTGTGCTCTCTCCCCCTCCTGGCCCTTAGGCAGTCTCCCTCCATCCCCTCTCCCCAGCTTCTCTCTCCTCTTTTTCCTGGTTCACATACCACATCCCTCTTCTCACAGCTCTCTCCCTATGGAGGAGTGCCCTCTTTTACTTGTCTTTCTTTGGAAATTACCACCCAATCCAGATGTGCTATTTAAAGTGAGGAAGGGATGCTGCAGATGCAACAGAACCATCTAAAAAACGTCCTTCTTTTTTAGAAAAATCCATTCACTCCTATCACGTTCTGTTGTTATGGATATCATTGCCTAAACTGATTTATTTTCTAGCAAGGGCTATGTGGTTAATTGCCTGAGGCTGTGCTGCACTCAGACTATCATGAAATAGCCCCTGGCCAGCTGAGAAAGTTAGGAGGTTATCCAGATACAAGGGTGGGGAGGGCCTGGAGGAATCCTCTGTCCCTGAAAAGGGACTTCTGAAATGGAAGGGCAAGGGTGAGGAGCTGCGAGGCAGCGGTGGTGGGTGACTGTCAGCCTATGAGGTGATGCTGGTAAATCTAGATCCTCGCTTAGGAAGCCTATCCCCTCACCTCACCTGATGTCACCAGAAATCTGTATCTACTGGGAAGGATTCTCCTGGAGCCGATGCATACATGCTGGAATATTTCTCACCCAACAACTATTTATTGACCTACTACTGTATGCCAGGCACAGTGCAGGCACAGGGGGAGGGGAGAGGACAGTTGTGAACCAAATAGACCTAAATCAGTGGTAGAGTCTAAATCTCAGGAGCAGGTAACTTTCCCTTGGACAATAACACCCAATGTGGGGTCCAGGCTGGGGACTCCAAGGTGGGTGTCTCAGGGCCACTGCACCTCGAGGCTCAGAGGTGCCAGTTGGTGACTAAATGGCTGGAAAACCACCTCTCAAAATAACTCCCCTAAAAACAGTGCTTTTGGTCCCGGCCAGGTAGCTGGGTTGGCCAGAACCTGGTGCGGACACACCAAGGTTGCAGGTCTCATCCTGGGCAGGGCACATACAGACATCAACCAGCGAGTGCATGAATCAGTGGAGCGACACATCAACGTCTTTCTCTCTCCCTC